CACTGAGTCACTGGAGGGAGGTACTTATGAAGAAAGTGACGGAGGCAGAACAGCGGAGGCAGGGGGAAGTGGAACAGGGGGATCCACTGCCCAAATCCAGCCTGCCATCCACGAGCCAGTCTTCCCCTTCACCACAGATGCTCCCAATATGGGCTAAAGCCATGGCAAACATTAGGGGGTCCAGACCCACCAGACCCCAGGATCAGGCAGACACCATGGTGTGAGGGCTATCTTACCGAGCCTGTGGAGCCCCTGGACTGTGAGCCCTTGGCCTACTGGGCAACTCGCAGCCCAATGTGGCTGGATCTGGCCACAGTTGCCCAGGAATACTGGACCTGTCCACCGACCAGTGTGCCAAGCGAGAGGGTGTTCAGCATGGCTGCGGATGTTGTGACACCCCACTGCACCTGCTTGGATCCTGGTTGGGGGAGCAGCTGGTGTTCCTCAAGGTGAACCTCCCACTGCTGGGGTCCCCAAGCTCCAGGTGCAGACGGAGCGAATGCCGCCCTCCTCACTCCATCTGTATCACAAGTTTTTTCTGTCAGCAGCCTAAGGTGCAGTTTCCCCCAAACCCCTGCACCTATCACCGTGAAAGTTGGCAGGCTTTGTGGGCTCCTCAGGGCCTAGCAAGCCTGCAGTTTTGACCTCCCTGTGGCTTTCCACACAGAAGTAACAGGAGGTTCTCTCTCAAGAATTTGGGGTGCTGTTTCTCCATACTCCCTGAACCTATCTTGTTGAAAGTTGGCAGGTTTCGTGGGCCCCTCAGGAGCTACCATTCCTGCAAGTTTCATTAGGATCAGACAAGAAAAGCCAAAGTTATAGCCTGCTTCATCCTTCCCCATTATAGCCTATGGGGAAGTTGAAGGAGCTCAAATATTCAACTGAGCTTCGACCTTGAGTCGAAGCGGATGGCAAATTGAAGCGGGACTCAGTTTAATATTTGACATAGCTGTCAAATCAAATATTACCTGCTCTGCACAGCCCTAGAGGAGACCTCATTGGGGCACACTACTGTGCAGAGTCCCAGCACCAGAGGGCGCAGCGACAAGGGGTTAGAAGACCCCAGCAAGATGGCAGTTACTGAGGCTAAGGGTCCAGTGACAACAAGAGGCTGAACTAAACTCAAGCCTCATCACTAGAGACAATGTCTAAATACCATCTGAGAGGCATGAGGCGTGGTAAAGGGGCAGTTTTGGAGCCACCTATCTAGCCCATAAGGCTTGGGGTGTCTCGCAAGACACCTGCTTAGAATGGGACCCAGCAAGGGGTCTAAAGACCCTCGGGGTTTAGTGGGATTCAGCAGGACCATGAGTGTGTAGCAATGTGAGAGCATCTACTAACAAAGCGTGGCAGGAAAGATTAGAAGACGTCTGCAAGGCAAAGCTGACATGGTCACAGGGCCCCAGGGGCATCATGGCCATCTCTAGGGATCCCCCCCATGACACAGCTGTATATTATAAAAAGCCAGAGGTAACTATTTGGAAAAGGCCCCTTTGCCTCAAGCTACACCTGTCTATTAGGGGTGGGTGAAACAGGCCTTATTAGATTCAGATTCGGCCCGAACTGGGGACAGTGATTGCATTTGCTGATTCAGATCACTGTTCCCAATTCGATTAGGCCAAATCCAAATATAAAGATTCAATGCTGATTCAAAGAATCAGCAATTCAGCCATAGACACAGCTTTAAATGTTTATTCTACATACCTTGAGGTACCAGGTGTGGCTTGTGAATGCTGCGATGGCGGGGCAAATGGAGCATCCCACAGGAGCACAGGGGAACCCCCCTCCCCCACTGTGCTTGGTGGTAGACCCAGAAGTGGACGAGAATTACTTCCGGTCCGCTTCCGGGTTCACTGCCGAGCGTGTGGAGGACCTCCCGCATTCCCCCAGTTCAGTGATTGACCGTGGGGGGGACTCCGGATCGTCCTCTCTGACCCAAGAGGCACCAGTCGCCAAGCCAGGGGTAGGGTCCCCCTGCATGCTCCATGGTGGACCCAGAAGTGCTTCTGCTC